TTTGACCAATGAAATGGCCTTTGATAGGGCCGCGTGGAGAAGAAGGATTCATGTAGCCGACCCCATTTGATGGGACTTAAGGCTTCGTTTGGTTTGGTTTGGTTTATTAATGTTTAATATTTTTATATTTATGAAGTATTTAGGATCATATTTTTATTTGTTTAAATAAAAATAATCTGTACCAGTCAATTTTTTATCAATATTAGTATGTTTAAATATCTTTAAACAAAATTTAACCATTAGTATGTTTAATGTTTACTAAAAATAATTAAAATATTAAAGATATGTTTAATATTGCTATTACTTAGTAAACAATTAAAAAAGGGTAAAATAGTCTTTTGTTCATTTATCCTATCCAGTCCGTCCAACCAAACGTTGGATTCACTGAAAATAGTCCTATCCAGACATCTAATCCCATAAAAAAACAAACACAGGATACATATCCAATCCGACCAAATAGTCCGGGGATTCACAGTCCCATGACTCAAGTCCGATGGATTCTAATCCCCCATTTTTCAGTCCGTCCAATCAAACACACCCTTAGGGTGCAATAACCAAGCATTCAAGAACTTAAAAGGTTTAGAACCCCAGTCCCTCACATCCTCCATAAGAACTAAAGGACAATGATCTGATATAGTTCTTGATAATCCCCATAATTTGAGCTTAAACCTTTCAATCCATTCAGGGCTAAGAAGAAACCTATCGATTTTACTTCATTTAACCCCATTATATGTATTACATCAGGTGTATTTTCTTCCAAGCATCTGAATTTCAGTTACCTCACACCTATCTATGAACTCATTGAAGTCTTTCATACCCCTATCCCTTCTTGAGCACCCTATTCTTTTAGCTACATTTCTAATTTCATTAAAATCTCCACCCAAACACCATGGCTTTGAAAAACTGCTTTTAAGATTCAACAAGATCTCCTATAATTTGCCTCTTTTCACCACATCATTTGGAGCATATATATTTAGAATCACACACTCAAATAATTTATGAAATGTACTTGATAGCAGTATGAAATTTATGTTGCTACAGTAATCTGATAGTTGAAAAACTTCAGGATCCCAAATGCATAACAGCCCTCCAGCTCTTCCTTCAGCCTTAACAGACATGCGCTCAAATCTGTCTTTATGCCATAATCTTCTCACCTCCACCTCTGAGATGCTTGATAACTTGGTCTCTTGAAATAAAGCCATATCAATTTTCCTATCAGATAATAACTTCTTAATCTGTCTTTTTTTCTCAGGTCTTCCAACCCCTCTAATTTTCCAACTTAAAATCTTCATAACAACATATATTAAACATTGTAGACCACCCACATATGAGCTGATTACACAAACCTATCATTCCCCATTCCCAATCTCTCCTTATCATTTTCCTCAAACAGGATTAATTTTTGTATTACTACATCGTCTTGGCTCTTTGTTGCAGTCCCCAACCTTTTACCTAGTTGTAGAGTTTCCTGTGCCTCCTTCAGTCTCCCATCATTACAGATGGATTGTGACTTTGCTGAAAATGACCTTGACAGAACTTTAGTTGTAGCTCTAACCACTACATTTGGTTACCTTTGCTTGGCACTGTTCCTTTCTGCCCTATCCTTCTAACAAAA